CGACTCTTCGGCTCTAAGAGCCGAAGAGTCGGGAGGAGCAGAGCTTGGCTGGGAGTGGGAGGCGGGGTTGGAGCGGGGAAGGGGTGGAGTTTGGGCAGGGGTGGGGAAATGGATGGGGCCAGGGCCCGTGGAGGGTCCTCTTTTTTTTATTTGTTAAATATGGTAACCCTAAGGTAGACATTTAAAATATACAATGCTGGGCCAACTGAACTGAGTTTGCTCCACAGCTTTGGTAATCTCTCACCTGGACTTTTGCAACTTCTCTCTCTCTGGCTAAGTTCATCTCTCTTGAACCATATGGCATCTGCCTGGCCTTTCAAACCTGCAGCCTTTGCTATCCCACACGGTAGCAGCTGTCCACCTACTCTTTGTACCTTCTGACAAAGCTCTACCCTTACTGTTCATCTCCAGCCATGTCCTATGCTCTATCATTACCCCTAGGCTTAAGGGTGTGACCTTCCATAACCCTAACTCCAGCACCTCCTAGACCAGCAACAACTTTTGCAATCTCATGCGTGCCATGCAGCCCATACTTTCCCATCCCTCCTCAAAAGCCCCATTCTTTTGAATAGCCTTCAAGTACCGACCCTACTCCTGAGTTACCTTCCTCCACTGCAAAACAAAGCCTAGACTTAAATATGTATGCATCAGGCCCCAGCACTAGATGTACACTAGCAACACAGTACTTCAGTCTTCCATTGTGTAAACCCGATCCTCTTCCTACACCTTCAGCTGTGGCGTCTCTCCAGCGCTAGCTTAGATTGTAAGCTCCTTGAGGAAGGTATTTGTCTTTTTTTCTGAAGCCTCAAGCACACTCCTGCTATTGTGTTAGGTAGGAAACAAATATAAAGAAAAAGCAAAAAATGTAACCCAGGGAATGAGTTGAGAAGAGGGGGCTGAGCAGGAGACGTGAAATGACAGTGACAACAACAGGAGAAATAAATCAATTCCCAGAGAAAGTTACAACAGTAACCCCACTGAAGGGCAATTCTTAAATTAGGAAAGCAGTTGGAAAACTAGAGGACAAAGGTAGACATTTAAAAGTATCTAAGAAATGAGAACCAAATTGCGATGGACAGCATAGCCGGGCTAGGGCCCTGCAGGTGGCAAAGACTGCTGCAACAGAAGAAGCAGTGCACCATGCAGCCCAAAATCACGTTGATAAAATCCCCAACACACATTTCCAAGGCATGCTGGAGTAGCTAGGTGCTATTGACCCTTTGTTTACAATTTGTGCTTGTAGCTTAACATGTATCAGATGGCAGCTGGAATTGCCACAAATATGAAGAAAAAGGATTTCTGTGGTAAGCTGGTGTAAGTGGTGTGAAGTCATAATACAAATACACAAAAAAACGCAATTCAGATAACAAGATTAGAGTTTATCACATTATAGCCATTCTAAAATGACGCTTTAACCTCTGTCAAAAAAGGTTCAAAAGATGAGTAATCTTAATTGTGAAGAGAGAGAGGCTGACAGCAGTAGGGTTCACACAGTTTTATATTCACCAATCTGTGTCACAATTTACTTTAACAAATAGTTTTAAATAGGCTAGAATCCTTTTTATTTTATTAATACTTCATTTCTGTTTTTAAAAAATACAGCTAAGAACAGCCAGATCAAAACAAGTCAGATATAGGACTACCATCAAGGGTTCCAGAATTGTAATTTGCATTTATCATTAGGCACACATTACATCGATACAATAAAAAATTCCTTCCTAACCCATGATGGTCATTTGCTGTATTTCAGCAAGAGATTTCATAGGAGATGCTAGAGAGGTCTGCTATTATCAAGATTTCATTTTTTCTTAAACAAAATAATACCTTGCATTTACTATAAAATTATAAAATTTAAACTGCAATTTACAAAGTGCATTTTCTGATGTGTTCTTGCTTTAATTTTTTTCCTTAGCTGCTTATTTGAAAAAAATCAGTCATTTCCAATGGGTTTCCAACCATTAGTGCAAAACAGTGAAGTTTACTAGAAGTACTTCTAGCAAATAGTATGCATAATTGCTTCGTACAGTTCATGGTCTAAAGTCCTCGTCATCGTCGTCCTCCATTTCCCATTCAGCCTGTTGTCTGGCTCTCAGAGCCAGCGCCAGGGTCTCAGAAATCCCTGGTTGGTGTCCCTCTTCGTCTGCTTTTAGCAAAGGAAGTAAGATGGACTTGGTGAGTGCACATATAACAATGTTAGCCCTCCATTTGTAAGAAAGTGCCTATGCTGGTAAATTAAACCATCTCTCAAGTACAAGGAAGATACATGTGTGTGCAAGCCAGATCAAGCTCATGTGTGAGATTCCATGCCTGTCTTGCTTCTAGCTGTATGAATGTTCTAGGCCACCATGTACACACTAAGCCCTGGTCTACACTGGGGGGAGGGGGGGAATCGATCTAAGTACGTCAAATTCAGCTATGTTATTCACATACGTTATTGACTTCACTACAGTGAGTCAACCCCTGTCGACTCTGCCTGCGCCTCTCTCGGCGCTGGAGTACAGGAGTCGACGGGAGAGCACTCGGGGGTCGATTTATCGCATCTAGTCTAGATGCGATAAATCGATCCCTGCTGGATCGATCGCTGCCTGACGATTCAGCGGGTAGTGTAGACATACCCTTAATAACCCTCTTTGAAACAAATGCAAAGTGAAGTACAACCCTTACTGATACAGTATTCCCTCCAGGCCTACTCCCCTAAGAGGACATGGAGTTTCATTTGTTTCAAGGAATTCACTTTTCAGGTACACATAAGTCTGCCGCCACGTTTCAAAAGTAGCCACTGATTTTGGATGCCCAGTTTGACAATCAGGCCCAAGCTGTGTCAGAGGCGCTAAGCTCACACAGCTCCCATTGACATCAAGTAGAGATAAGGGTGTACCCTAGTGGAGCTCAAGACGTATAGTCGAGCACTCAAAAACTGAGGCATGAAAACCCAATGTCTGCTTCTGAAGATGTTGGGCTTTAGTGGCCTAATCTGATTATTTGTTCCTGCCCTTCATCGGAGGAAGACAGAATTCTGTAGTCATTATGGTACTTTGACCTACTGCATTTCAAAATCTTACTGAGCTGAACTTCTGCGAGTTGTTTTCTCTGTGTTGAGAGTTATTACTTACCAGGAGACAGGCCAGTCTTTTCTGGTATCCCATCAAAGGAGGACTGAAAACAAAATTCACAGTAAATCAGAATATTTACTTCCATGTTTTCCACCAATATGACTGTTACCTTATGTTTAAAAGCAAACTTAGATCACTTAAACAAATGTATCCTTTGCTTCTGCCAACCTTATGTGGCTTTGTGAAGAACTAGTTGGGTTTTGTTCTGAAAGCTTTTCTTGATACATTTTTATATTAAAAATAGTTTTTGAGGTGGGTGGATAATGGTGTCTGCAAACTGCGGAGGTCCTATTATCATCACAACATCCACACGAAAACTACTATCTTCCATACAAGTACCCTGGAGAGTGTAGACGGACCCGCTTCTTGGCTGGCTTATCATACCTCAGCATAGAAGTCTCTTCCATTTCTCTCAAATGGCCTTTCTAGGGAGGTTGTCATTTGCAGAGCAGCTTGTCTAGATGGCTGGTACGAAGATGAACTCCTCTGGAAGACAGCATGTCAGATTAGCAATATGTACATACCTACGACTGTAGCTGTTCTGTGAATACTGTTCCTCCAACCCCAAGCTCCAGGTACGTAGGTAAAATGTGCCTGTTTCTCAGCGCTCTTTTCCCCCCAACTCCACTTGCGGTGTGTTTTGGCACCTACATTTGCAAGGGGGCTAGCTAGGTCGCAGGCAAATGCATATTTTGGAAGCTATTAAAATTTGTCTAGGTGTTAGGGAGGGCTATATGCTCACATCCTCACTCCAGGACTGCTCACGTAGGCAGATGCCCTGTCACCAGTCAGTGCTCATTGACTGCAATTGCTCATTTAACCCTGAAGTGCACACATTTCTCTCAAACAGAGAACATTAACTCACAGCCAGTCATAAGATTTTAACAGAGTCCCTTGCTAGATTTCTACATGTCCTGGGTTCAGCTTGGCTGGAAATACTAGGAGAACTAGCATCAGAGATGTGAATTTAAAAAAAAAAAAAAAAGACATCTTCCAAGTCTCCAAAAAGCATTACGTTCAACTTGACTTTGGTGTGTCATCTATTCTTGTTTTTATCCAAAGAGGTCCATCCAACTCCTGGGTTGCCCTATGCATCCCTCTTGGTGGAGAAAGGGTCACATGACAGTGTTTTTATGTTATTGACCTCAGAGCTGATCAATACTAGATGCCTTAAAAAAAAAAACATCAGGAAGAGCAAGATACAGCCTACAAGAGAAAAGCGGCTCTGGAGGAGTAGAAGGGTGGGGTTCCCTGTCTTTATCATATATGGATAATAAAGAAAGCGCACACACATCTGTCAGGGACAGGGCTGTCCAGCTCAAACAGACATACATGTTTTCAGAAGGTCTAAAAAAAAAAAATCTTGGTGGATTCAATCCCTGATTAGCTCTAATCTATCCATAAAGATGGGATGCTGAAAGCAAAGGGCAGCCCCAACAAAGAGTTCAATCCTACCCCAAAGTAATCAGTAGCATTTTCACTATTGGACTTTAATGGGAACAAGAGGCACAGTGCACTAGGGAGAGAAAAGAAAAACAATCCATCTCCTTATGTGAAGCACTGAGTGAGGCTATTCCTGCCATAACAAGTTAGAGAATAACCCTCAACACATTTGATAGAATCATAGAAATTGCAGGACTGAAGGGGACCTCAAGAGGTCATCTAATCCAGCCCCCTGCGCTAAACCAGGACCAAGTAAACTTAGACCACCCCCACAGGTGTTTGTCTAACCTGCTCTGAAAAACCCTCCAGTGGCAGGGATTCCACAACCTCCCTTAATACCCCATTCCAGTATTTAACAATCCTTATAGTTAGAAAGTTTTCCCCTATATCTCACCACAATCTCCCTTGGTGCAGATTAAGGCCATTACTTCTTCTCCTCCCTTCAGTGGACATGGAGAACAAATCGGTCACCATCCTCTTTATAACAGCCCTCAACATATTTGAAGACTTATCAGGTCCCCCCCACTTGGCTTTCTTTGCTCGGGACTAAACGTACCCAGTTTTTTTAAACCTTTCCTTGTAGGTCAGGTTTTCTAAACCTTTTCTCATTTTTGTTGCTCTCCTCTGGACTCTTTCCAATTTGTCCACATCTTTCTTAAAGTGTGGTGACAAAAACTGGACACAATACTCAAGCTGAGGCCACACCAGTGCCAAATAGAGCAGATCAATTACCTCTCATATATGACAGGTTTCAGAGTAGCAGCCGTGTTAGTCTGTATCCGCAAAAAGAACAGGAGTACTTGTGGCACCTTAGAGACTAACAGATTTATTAGAGCATAAGCTTTCGTGGACTACAGCCCACTTCTTCGGATGCATATGC